AGTGTTTTTTAACTCCATTATGAGATTTTAAAAAATGTCATCACAATAGTGAAAGACAGCAGGTGTCATATAAAAATGTTAAAACCTTGGTATTTTCATTCAGTCTATGTAAAACTGACAAACAGAGAAAGAGCTCACATTTTGAGAAAAATGTCCCTTTCCATTCAAGAACACAGAACCCATCTCCCACTTCCCAGTTGCTCTCTAAGAACCTTCAGTAAAGAACCTAGCTACACAGGTGGATACGGATGTAAAACGGACAGTTTCATCTGAGAACTTTTCGCCTACTGAAAATCACTCACGGTATTTCTGATATGGGAATTAGTTCTCTCATTAGGCACCTCCTGTAATGTATACAAACCATGTTTTAAAGGTGTTCCTTAAAAATAACAGCACCGTATATGCTTAACTTTGTGAGTTAAATCACTCAATTTCTCCACCAATTGCTCCAGCCAGGGAATTATGTCGCATGGAAAACAGCTGTTGGTCCGCTTGGCTTCGCCGCTGGGAGGGTGCCCGGCGCCCTCCAAGGCCCAGTCCCAGGGACTGCGGGGAAGCCAGGCCTGTGGACCACCTCCCACCCTGGACTGAGACCGCCTCCCCGCTACCTGTGCTGCTTGTCCAGGGCATCCAGGTCTCCGCTCCTGCGTGCCAGGCAGCGCTCCACTTCCGTGGCATGTCTCCCGCTCCTGCGCGGCCAGGCAGCGCTCCACTTCCGTGGCATCGCCTTGACAGCCTTTGTGGATCTTCTTTCTGCAGCCGGAGTCCCGGATCTGCACTGTGAACCCGGGCAGAGCGGGTCATGGAGCCCAGACCTGCCTGCCCCTGCAGCTCCCGGCCGAACAACTTCCATGGCAGTGACTTTCTCAGAACTCCCCAACCACCGACCGCCTCTTTGAGTGGGGCAGGTACCTGTCACCTTTTCACAACCCTCCACCCGCCCCCAACGACCCAGCCCCAAATCCAACCCCAAGTCCTGATCCAACCCCAAATTCGCGATCCAACCCGCAGTCTGCGATCCCAAATCTAACATGTACTCCAAAAACTGAGATCCAGCCGGGTCCACCACAGCCTTCAGCAGCGACACTCGTAGCCTCCGACCTCTCAGACCCAGTGAGCCTTGCAAGCCGCTTGGGCGCAGCCTGCATCAAGGTGGCCGCCCACCAGGAAGCGCCCTGGCTGTGCGTGTGTGGCAGGTGGGGGTTGCAGCTCCAGGCAGGCGCCACTGGGCTTGCGGGTTCTCCTGGGCATTCTGGGCGGCCCTGGTGATCCCAGGCGCACAGCCAGCCAGGCCTGAGGAGGGGAGGACTTGTATGGCCTGCCGCCCGCCCCCCGCTCCTCCTGGAAGGAGATCGGGTGCTGGCAAGGGTACTCAGAGGCCACCGTGTGGCTCGCACATAGCCTGGCTTCACGCTGGAGGCTCTGGCCCTGGAGTCTGGGTAGTGGCTAGTGTCGGGTAGTAGAAAAGGCATGGAGAGTCAGGGGCTGCTCCTTCCTCCACTCCGCCTCTATCAGCTGCCGGTGCCCAACTGCACAGCTTGCAGCTGCAAATCTGGCACTGGCGCTGGATGGCGGAGCTTCCCTGGATGGCCTCAGGGTTGCCGAAAGTACAGCCTACCTGGCCTCAGGGTTCGCTCCTCTTGGACATCTCTGTGGATCCTGGGCCCTGGCGCTAAGCAATCTGTGTCCACACACATAAGACTGAGAGGCTGCTGGCTGGGCCGATCACCTGACTTAGCTGCCTGGGCGTCTGGCTCAGGATCTGGGCTGCTGGGGGCACGGGCCTGGTCTGGGGTGTCCAGTCACTTGCAGTACTGTATGATAGCGGGGGCTGAGGCCTGGTACCTGATGTCCTGAGGTTCATGTGCATCACGCGCCCACTGGAGGCTCTGCTCTGACTTGGTCTCCTCCAACAAACACAGGGGCTGGGCCGGGGTGGGCTCTTCATGGTAACTGGTACGGTATTACAGCACAGGAGTTCCCACTCTGGTGCCGCTGCTGTGCAGATTGCTTTGTTACTGCACTCCAGGCAGTGGCCCCAGGTCCGCGTGGCAGGTGTGCAGATAGGGTGAAGGGCACTGAGATCAGGGGGTTGCTCTGTCTTCTCTGCCTTGTGTGCAACTTTGGTAGTTCTGCAGTTTTCTGCAACAGCTGAGGCGCCTGGCTGGGGAAAGCAGAACTCCCCTGGATGGCGTCAGGGTTGCCGGCACAGAGCACAGCCCACCAGGCCTGAGGGTCCGCTCCTTTTCCACTTGGTCTGAAGCCTGACCCAGATGCTGAGCACTGTGCCTGGATGCGGATAGGGCTGACTGATCGATTGCAGAGCTGGTCATCTGGCTTTGCCACTGAGGCATCTGGCCCCAGGATCCGCGATGCTGAGGGTGGCCAAGCAGTTGCTGCCCATGTGCAGGTGGCAGTTGCAGCTTGGGCACCGACAGGGATTGCCTGGGCTGGTACCTGATGACCTCAGGGTTGCCAAGCGCACTGCCTGCCCAGCCCAGGGTCAGTTCCTTTTTGGCCTGCGCCAACAGCGCAGGGGCCATGGTGCCTCAGTTCTCTGTGGAAACTGGGATGGGGTGAGCTGCCAGTTCCCGCCCTTTGGTTGCCTGGCCAACTGCCAGACTTTAGCCTCTGCCACCCAGGCATCTGTCTCTGGGGTTGCCGCTACTCGGGTAGAAGTGGGGATCGGGGTGGGCGTGGAGTGTCACCTGTTGTCAGACCAGCACTGTTTGCTATATATTCAGATGGTGGAGGCAGCTCTGCAGGAACTCAGACCCAGCCAGCCCTCCCACTCAAGTGCAGGTTCCCGATCCTGATGCTTACACCCACAGAGCCCTGTCCCCGGTGGTGTCCGCTACTCCATGTCCAGCGTGCTTAGGGGTCCCAGGCAGTGTCCGCAACACAGAGCCAGAGGGCGCAGGCTGGGAACCTCTGCGGGTATGGGGGCCTTGCGGTGCTCAGGATTCCTGAGGAAAGGTTGTGTGCTGGTTGCTCTGGAGCAGAAGCAGCAGGAGGTTGCCCTCTAGAGTCTGGAGTCCCCAGAGAGGAAGAAGGCTCCTTCTTGGGAGGCCACTGCTGTTGCTGCAACCTCTGCCGCCACTGGCATGGTACCCTCTGATAGGGCTCTTAACCCACCGCCCACTGTTGGCTCCAGGATAGCGCCCCTAACACCCTCCCCTCGCCCGCCACAGTGTAGAACCCAATGGCGCTCCCAACTTGTCCCCGCCTGGGACGTTGCAGCACCAGCTAACTGCCCGGATCTGCCCCCTGCCGTGGGCCATGCAGTCACGGATAAGACCCCCAACCAACCCCCTGCTGCCAGGAGTGACGACTGGGAGAGCGCTGCAACCTGCTCCCTACCGTGAATAGTGCAGCCACGAATCCTTAAGGCCTCCAAGCCGCTCCCCATTAGGCGTAATGCAGCCCCAGAGAGCGGATAGCACCCCCAACCATCCCTCAGCCACGGACTATGATGCCCTGGATAGCACACCCAACCTGCACCCCAACGTGGGCAGTGTATTCCCCCACAGCACCCCTAACCCGTATGCTGCTGCCCAGAGTATGGTCCTGATAGCGCACCAAACCCGACCCCTGCCACAGGCTGTGCAACAGCTGATAGAGCCCCTAACTCATCCCCCACTGACCTCAGCGCAGGCCTGGAATGGTGCCCACAACCCACCCCACCACCCCGCCTGCCATCGGCGGGGTATCACCCTCAAACTGTCCCTTGCCATGGGCAGTGCAGCCTCCAATAGCGCACCCAACCTGCCCCCTACCATGGGCAGTCTGGTCTCCAATAGGGCCCAAAACCATCCCCTCCAAGCACCTCCCTGTACCCCCCCTTTCCCTGCCCCCACCCACAGTACCAACTGATACTGCCCCTAACCTATCCCCTGCGGCGGGCATTTCAGTCCCAGATAGCACCCCCAACAAGCCCTCAGCCGTGAGCAGTGCAGCCCCGATAGCACCCCCACCCCACTGTGGGCAGTAAAGCCAGACCAGTCAGCGCCCAACCAGTACTCCCATCCCAGCGCCGCCTGCAATGTAACCACAATAAGGGCCCCAACCCGCTTCCCCACCAGGCTGTGGGCAGCGCAGCACCGGATAGCACACCTAAAGTAGGGACGCTGGGAGTAACACCCCAACCAGCCCCCACCCGTGGGCAGTGTAGCCCCGGATAGCGCACCTACCCCATCGCCTTTCTATGCTCTGCCTGGCTGTAGTGTCCGTCGCTGCCACCAAGGGCAGCAAGGCGAGCCAGCGAGGCTAGCCGCAGTCCCATAGGCTTCAGCCTTCAGCCTGTGGTAGGTGCCTCCTTCTTCCCTTCTTGTAGCCAGGCAGGGAGCAGCTCTTGCTGCTGCTGCCTGTCTCCATCGCGGCCACACACCACGCAGAGGCAAGTCCTGGTGCCACAGGATCCAGCCTCCAGCCCCCAGCATGTGGTGGGGGACTCTGCTTTCGCCTTCTCTAAGGTGTCAACAGAGGGGCTGGGAAGGTTGATGCACAAGAGCCTGCAATGGCGGGACTCCCCCTTAGCATGCTTTGTATCCTGAGGTTATGCCAGCCAGGTTCCTGGATTTCATGTTCTGATTCGATGACGGGGGAAAAAAAACAACAACAAACTTTGCCTAATCAAAATTTCAAATACTTTTTATATCCTTTCTTCTAGAAAATGTATGCTTTTAGGTTTATTATTTCGATGTGTGATACACACACACTTATATGTGTGTATACAGCATATTATATTCTGTAGATATGCATAGAGTATATGATATATGGTGTATAGAGTGTGACTACTGTGTACCTTCTGTTTTTCTCTTTTTGAAGAGATATCTGTGTGCGTTATGCTAGGTCTGTCCACCATTGCATGCGGGGTATATGAAGGGAAAACAAATATGTATCTTGAATTCACTAATCTTTAGATCAAGAGGAAGTGCAATCAACATGTCCTTGAAGAACAAAGCTGAAGAGCTCCATCCACACATGGAACTGAGTTAGATGGCAATATCCTGAAGTTCTACATGATTCTATAATTGGATAAAATCTGTGGGGCCTTTGTGAGGGGGTGAATGTATTTTGCATATGGGATAAATATAAATAATCTGTGGCTAGAGGGCAAACTGGGTTGGATTTTACATGACCACACATGGCTTGATACTTCAAATATCAGGAGGTAAAACCTAATTTCCCTCTCCTCGAGTGTGGGCTTAACATAGATACTTGCTTCTAATGAATAGTATAAGGCAGAAGTGATGATGTGTAACTTAGGCATCCACGTCATAAACACCACTGTGGCTTTTTCTTTGCTCTCTGTTTCACAGCAGTTACTGTCAAAGAAGATAGCTATTAGGACATGAAGATATTTGAGCAGCCTATGGAGAAACCTGCATGACAAAAGATTAAAGCTGCCAATGGCCAATAGACCAAAGCTGTGGCCTCCTGCCCAGAGCCACCTGAGTGAGCCACTTTGGCAGAGCATCTTTCAAAGCTTTAGAACTTCAGACTCACAGTAACTTTTGCTAGTATGTTAACTGCAACCACATTAAATACTTGAGCAAGTATTTAAGGGCACTTGTGCCAGTGGCTCTGTTGAGGTGGGGATTAATGTCTGGAGTGGCCCAGCTCCTGTGGCCAGTAAGGTCCTAGGGTGCAGGTGAGGGTGTGAGGAGAGAGGTCACTGCTTCTCTCTCAGGTGGTGATGGTGACCAGCTGCTTGGCAGCCTTGGTGATACAGGCACACTGGATCACTTGCTGAGTCAGCAGCTGGAAGTCCACTGGGGCTCTGGGCTCTGGGGGCACTGTCTTCCCACACTCACTCTGCAGTCAGTAGGTGCTGGCGTTGAGCAGCCGCAGTAAGCTCCACACTGGCGCCAGGGCTGGCCTCTTTGGGAAGAGGGAGGCCATCTCGGTCACAGCCAAATGGATCTTCTCTGAGCAGGGAATGAAGCTGTCATGCTTAAACTCCTGGGCTGCCGGCAACAGTTCCTGAATGTTCTTGGTGACCTGCTCTGTCTTCAAGATGACATCCTCTCTGCTGGGAAGCCCAAGATCTAGGTCTCCATCCAGGCTTTCCAACTTTGGGTGGAAGTCTTCCTCTTTGCCTAGCTCTAAAATCCTCTTCCATCCGAGCCCCAGCAGCGGGTTCCCACTTGGCGTGTTCTCGTAGTCACTGTCCGCTCGGCAGCTGTGGTGGGAAACCTTGCTCATGTGGCAGCTTCCTTCCTGGGAGCAGGACAGCAGTGGGGAGGAGGGAGTGAAGGGCACAGAAGAGGCAGACACTCCCTTCCGGATCCGGTAAAGGCCAGCAGAGACGTGCACTGAATAGATGGCTTCGTCCTCTAGCTCAGTGCTGTGGAAAGGCTGCAGCCGCATAGTGAGCTCGTCCCCACGTGGGGCCCCAAAGAGCTTCTGGGCTGAGCCAGGTTCATACAGGGAGAAAGCCTGGCGATCCCTGTGGTGTGTGCTCTCGCCTGGTACCATGGGTGTGTGTTCCGCCCATTCACTGGGAAGTGGAGGTGTGGGCACTGGCTCCGGAGGCTGCTGGAGCTGCAGGTTCTCTGCCTGCAGCTTGTGGATCTCTCGCCGCAGCCTCCGGAGCTCATCGCCCAGGCTACTGTTGACCTTCATGAACTGCTGCACCTTTGCCTCAGAGGTAGCCAGGGCCTTCTTCAGCTCCAGATACTCCTGCATCACAGCCCAGTCAGACAAGTCCCAGGAGTCCATGCTCTGGGCGTGGTTGCTCCCAGTGGTGCCGGTGCTGCACAGGGGCTCCTGGTCTGTGTCTTCATCAGAGGCCACACTGTTGTAGTCGTGCTGGTCGTCGAGGTCACTCTGGCTCCCCATGGACAGCTGGAGGTTGTCTGTGGGGCTGCTCAGGCTCTTGCCCTGCTGTTTCCACTTGGCCTCACTGAGAATGTCTGTCTGTGATCAAGGTGGCAAACTCTCGGGCATTAAAGCAGGCCAGCTTCTGTCACCCGTGATTTTGCGTGGCTAAGTATTCTGGGTTAACAGGCAGGAAGGGCACGACACTGTGCTCTGGCACCAGAGTGCTGTGGTTTGGGGTAACCACCCACACTGCATCATTTTCTTTTTGATCCACCTCCTCATACAGATCCATGGCGAGTTTCTCAAAAAGGTGGTTGCTGTGCGCCTGAAGCTTCTTCTTAGCAGCTTTGGCCAATTCGGATAGGTTCAGGCTGTCAGCCATCTCTGGGATGATGTAATGCCCATTCTTGTGAACCGGCTTGTGTCCACAGAGGGAGAAGGCCAACTGGTCAGTGAGCTCATGTTGACACTCAACCAGCCTTTCTGCCAGCTCATGGTGCCCAGCCTGCCTGGCATAGTCAATGGGTGTGCAGCCATTAACCTCAGGGGAGCCAGGGTCAGTCCGATACACTACAAGCAGCTCGGCCTGCAGTGTCTGCCCTGCCTGGGCAGCCACGTACAGAGGTGTGGTGCCCTTCTGTGGGTGGAAGAAGTTGGCCTGGGCACCCAGGCATAGTTGTGGTAGACATGTCTCCAGGTTGCCTGTCCACATGCTTGAGTGCAGTTGCTTGCTGTGGTCTTTGGTAGCGACCCCCCTCATCGTCCTGGCAGGGAAGCTTGTGGACAAACGCCAGCATCTTGTACTTGGCCGTGATGAACTCTGACTTGATGGGGTGGACTTTGTCTTGGGGGTAGCTTTATGATGGCGGCTCTGCACTTGTGCGGGTCCAACAGAGAGTGCTCCCAGATGGAGTTGGCCCGGCTGCTGGCAAGCCTGTGCACCATTTGCTGTAGCCTGGGAGGCCAGGCACTGTGACAAAGGTGCTTGACAATGGAGATGTGGCATCACAGGCTCTGGTGCACGCTGCAGCACCCATCATGCACCAATACACCCCTATTGATAGATGCCCAGCCAGGATCCGAGGTGCTGCAGTCCCCACACACCTCCACTCACAGCCCCTTCTGAGACATCCTCAGCGGCTACCTGGCAGCAGCCCTCCGGGCCAGTGTGGGGGACGCCGGCGGTGAGCCCAGGCTGCAGTGGTGGTCCCTGCTGTCTGCCCGACTTCGGCAAGGCCCCGGTCAAGACTCTGCGGGCCCGGCCAACTGTCGCCCCGGGGCTGGCCCAAAAACCACTGTGCCCCTCTGCCCGCTTGCCCTCGGGCGCCTTCCACCCCGCGCCACCCCGGAACCTGCGTTGCCCATCTTCCCGCTTACCCTTGGGAGCCCTCTGCCCCATGCCAGTCTGCTCGCTCGCTCTCGGTCACTTTCCGTGCTGCCCAGTGCCCGTCTGCCCGCTCGCCCATGCTGCCCAGCGTCTACCTGCCCACTCGCCCTCGGGTGCCCTCTGCCCGGCGCCAGTGTACCCAATGGCTCTAGGATGCCCTCCGGCCCGCACTGCCCCACGCCCATCTGCCCTCAAGCCCTTGGGCGCTCTTCGCCAGGCGCCGCCCGGCACTCCACTTATCCTAGGCCACATGCCGCCCCTTCCCTCCCTTCTCTCCGCCCCCCTGCGCTGCCCTGGCCTCTCCTGCAGGAAGCGGCACAGGCCCTGTCCACCGGGAGAGGAGTCGCACCCCCGCCCCCTAGTTTTTCATTTTTAATGTCAATTTGGTAAACCGTATTGATTTTGAAATAATAAACTAGTCATATGTTCTAGGAAAAACTCCTTTTGGTCATGTAATATTTGTATGTATATATTACTGGATTCAACTTGTTAATATTTTAAGGATTTTTGCATCTGTTTCCTTAAGGGATATTGGTCTGTAGTTTTGGGTTTTTGTAATGCCTTTGGATGGTTTTGGTATAAAAATAATATTAGCTTCATAAAATCACTTGGGAAGTGTATCCTTTTTACTTTTCTGCAAGAGTTTGTGTATGGTTCACTTGTTTCTTCCTCAATTATTGGTAAAATTTATCAGAGAAACTACCTGCACCTGGAATTTCTTTGGGGTTTTAAAACCACCAACTCATTTTCTTTCACAGATATAGGTTTATAAGAGCTTTTTTTCCTGTGTGGGTAAGCTTTGGTAGGTTCTGTCGAGGAATTTGTCCATTTGTTAAATTTATTGACGTAAGGTTGTAACAATAATCCCTTTTTAACATTGTAATTTCTGTATGATCTGTAGTGATATCCCATAATTCTTGATATTTGTAATCTTCTGTATGATCTATAGTGATGTTCCATAATTCTTGATATTGGTAATCTGTGTCTTCTTTTGGTCTTGTTTAAAATCTGGCTGAAGGTTTATGAATTTTATTCGTCTTTTCAAAGAATAACTTTTGCATTTGTTAATTTTTTCTATTGTCTGTTTCATATGTCATTGATTTCTGTTATCTTATTTTGCTTATTTTTTGTTTTTCAAGCTTTGTAAGATCAAACCTGAAGTCAGCAAATTTATATATTTTTCTAACATATGCACTGAAGTTTTAAATTTCCATATAAATACTAGTTTCATAAAAATCTCATAAATTTTGATATATTCAGTTCAATAATTTCTAATTTCACTTGTGATTTCTTCTGTGACCCATGAGTTATTCATATGTATACAGTTTAATTTCTATATATCTTAGGATTTTCCAGAAATCTTTGGTTATTGATTAGTCAGTCATTGCATTTCATTTTGGTGAAAGAACATACTTCGTATGATTTCATGTATCTGAAACCTATTAAAACTTGTTTATGGTCCAACATGTGGTCTATATTGGTGAATGTTCTGTAAGCACTTGAAAAGAATGGATTTTCTGCCGCTGTTGTTGGCATCTTCAAAAAATGTCAAGTAGGTAACACAGTTGATAATTTTGTTCAAGGTTTCTATATCCAGGGTGTATACTTCACCAAACATTTGTTAAAAGAACTGCAGCCTCCAACTATAATAGTGAATTTGTTTATTTTCATTTCAATTCTATTTATTCATGCATTTGAAATTTGTTTTTCTGTGCACACATTTTTAAAATTGTTATGTGTTTCTGGTGAACTGTCCCCTTTATAATTGTGAAATATGTCTCTTCATCCCTGGCAATATGACTTGCTTCATATTCTACTTTGTCTTATGTTGCTGTAATACTCTATTTCCATACTGCTATAAAGAACTACCCCAAACTGGGTAATTTATAAAGGAAAGAGGTTTAATTGACTCACAGTTCAGCTGGCTGGGGAGGCCTCAAGAAACTTACAATTATGGCAGAAAGCAAAGGAGAAGTAAGGCACCTTCTTCACAAGGCAGAGTAAGGAGAATGAGCATAAGAGGAACTACAAAACACTTATAAAACCATCGGAGCTAATGAGAACTCACTATCATGAGAACACAGCATGGAGGTTTGAAACTGCCCCCATGATCCAATTACCTCCACCTGGTCTCTCCCTTGACATGTGGGGATTATAGGGGATTATAAATCAAAATGAGATTTGATTTGGGTGAGGACACAAAGCCTAACCATATCTAGTTACCAAAGCCACTCTTTCTTTTGATTTTTGTTTGCATAGCCCATGTTTTTCCATAAACTTACTTAATTTACTTGTAACTTATCTGTGCATAGAAAGAAAGAGAGAGACATGAAAAGAAACACCAAAGTTTGACCCATACGCAGGATAGAAAGCCATAGAAACTGCTTTGAAAGAGCGTATATTTTCAGAAAAACACTCTAGCCATTATAAATATGTTCAAAGAGCTGATGAAATCCATGTTTAAATAATTAAGAAAAAATATGGTGATGATTATAAAATAGAGAATGTCAATAAACAGAAAGTATATAAAAATGGAAATTCTGGAATTCAAAAGTACAATAACTGAAAAGAAAAATTGACGAGGCCTCAACAGAAGGTTGAAGCTGGCATAAAAAAGAATCAGTGTATTTGGAGACAGATTAATAAAGATTACACAATCAGAAGAACAGATTTTTAAAAGAATGAAGAAAAATGAAGAGAACATCAGAGAAATGTGGGACACCATTAAGCACAACAACATATACATTACAGGAGTTCTAGAAAGAAAGGAGAGAGAAAAAGAAGCAGAAAAAAAAAATTCAAAGACATAGTAACTGAAAACTCCCCAAATTTGATGCAAAGCATTAATGCACACATCTGAGAAGCACAACATACTCCAAAAAATATAAACATAAAAGGATATATATCAAGACATAATCAAAGTCAAAATGTTTAATGTCAAAGATAAAATCATGAAAGCAGCAAAGGAGAAGGAATTTATCATTTAGATGAGAACTGCTATAAAATTAGCATCTCACTTATTAGAAACAATGAGGTCCACAGACAATGGGGTGAGACAGTCAAAATGCTGAAAGGAAAAAAAAACTGTCAAGCAAGAATCTTGTATCTAGCAAAACTATCTTTCAAAGATGAAGGCAAAATAAAGACATTCACAGATAAAAGCTGATAGAATTTATTGGTAGAAGATCTGTTTTAAAGGAAATACTAAAGGTAACCAGGCTGAAAGCAAGTGACAATAACTGAAATCCACATGAAAAAGCATACGAGTAATAATAATGATACAGATAATTATGGGAGATAATATGAGTGTATATTTATTTTCCTTTATTCCCTTAACTGATTTAAAAAGCAGTGGCATAAAAATTATGCATATTGTATTATAAGGCATATAACATTTATACATGTAATATACTTGACAATAATACCACAAAAGAGGCAGATCATAATAAAGCTGAACAATACCAGTTGGTAACTTGAATCTGTAGGAAAACATGCACAAAACCAGAAATGTAAAATAGGAAGCTCAATAAAATAAACTGTAAATAAACACTTGCTCTCCTCATCTCAGCCTCTTTAGGAGACATAAGATCATACAAAGTAATATTTGTAACAATATATTGCTGTTTTTATAAAATATACAAACATAATATGTATAACAATAATAGAACAAAAATAGGGAAAAGGAAATTTGCTATATGGAAACTATGTTTCTTTATCTCACTTTCTGAAGTCAGTTCTGATAACTAAGAACATAACTCAAAAACATAGTAAAAAAATCATTAAAGGAATTAGATTGTTACACCAGAAAATATTCACTTAATATAAAACAAAGCAGTGTGGGGGGAAAAACACAAAAGACGAGATAGACTGAAAAACAAGATAATGGCAGGTGTAAATCCAATCATATCAGTAACATTAAATATGAATGGATTAAGCAACCTAATCACAAGGCAGAGGTGGTAAGATGTGCAAGTTTTAAAAAATATACTATCTGAGACCTACATTCGATTCAAAGATAGCAAACAAGGTGAAAGTAAAAAGCTGGAAAAATACATGCAATGCAAATGGCAAAAGAGAGCCGGAGCTGTGACCTGGTTTGGTTCTGTGTCCCCACTCAAATCCCATCTTAAACTGTACTCCCATAATTCCCACCTGTTGTGGGAGGGACCCAGTAGGAGATCACTGAATCATGGGGGGCGGTTTCTCCCATATTGTTCTCATGGTAGTGAATAAGTCTCATGAGAACGATGGTTTAATAAGGCGAAACCCATTTCTCTTGGCTCTCATTCTCTCCCTCTTGCTGCTACCATGTAAGAAGTGCCTTTCACCTTATGCCATGATTGTGAAGCCTCCCTGGCCACATGGGATCAACAAGTCCATTAAAACTCTTTCTTCTGTAAATTGCCCAGTCTTGGGTATGTCTTTATCAGCAGCATAAAAACAAACTAATACAGCAAATTGGTACCAGTAGAGTGGGGTGATGCTAAAAAGATACCTGAAAATGTGGAAGTGACTTTGGAACTGGCTAACAGGCAGAGGTTGGAACAGTTTGGAGGGCGCTCAGAAAAGACGGGAAAATGTGGGACAGTTTGGAACTCCCTAGAGACTTCTTAAATGGCTTTGACCAAAATGCTGATAATGATATGGACAATGAAATCCAGGCTGAAGTGGTCTCAGATGGAGATGAGGACCTTGTTGAGAACCAGAGCAAAGGTGACTCGTTTTAGCAAAGAGACCGGCAGCACTTTG